TGCACCTCTAGGAAGAACAGTTTAGAACTGATAGAGCTGTTCAGTATAAATAAAGTTAGTTTAGTTTAGGTTTCCTCCTGTAGTAACACTGGATCAATAAGAGATGATCCTTACTGGACCTCTAGGAAGAACAGTTTAGAACTGATAGAGCTATCCAGTATAAATAAAGTTAGTTTAGTTTAGGTTTCCTCCTGTAGTACTGGATCAATAAGAGATGACTCTTCTGTACCTCTAGGAAAAACAGTTTAGAACTGATAAAGTATAAATAAAATTAATTTTATTATATTTCCAGATGCCATTACAATCATACCATGTTTACTCTAAAGTTATTTTCGCTTATTCTTTTTCTTTTTAACTTTCTTTCCAACAGAGTCTTTCCTTTGTTCGTTTTTATTTAAACTAAGTGACTTCATGGCCGACACTGCATTTGCGTCCATGTCCATGTCCATATCGTCTTCAATTTCCGTCGTTTCCTTTTCCTCCTAGAAAGTAAAACAATAGAAATATCTGTTTAAACTTTATAAGGTAGTTTTAAACTGTCCTCCCTAGAGGTCCAGAAAGGATCATCTCTTATTGATCCAGTGTTACTACAGGAAGAAACCTAAACTAAACTAACTTTATTTATACTGGATAGCTCTATCAGTTCTAAACTGTTCTTCTTAGAGGTCCAGTAAGGATCATCTCTTATGGATCCAGTGTTACAACAGGAGGAAACCTAAACTAACGAGATGATCCTTAATAGATCTCTGGGGAGAACAGTTTAGAACTGGCAGAGCTATCCAGTGTAGATAAAGCATTTTATTCGTGTACCGTTGTTTCTTCACCAGCTTTGTTTACAGGAGCCGCACCAGCGACGTTAACTAAGCATTGTCGATTTTTAAAATGTTTCCATGCTAAATAAAAGAATACAAACACAAAGTTAGCATAGACAATGGAACATTCTGATCACTGGATCATGACTGGATGGCATGGAGAACAGTGGTATTTTCAAAACAATGAAAAGACAATAGAACATTCTGATCACTGGATCATGACTGGATGGCATGGAGAACAGTGAGATTTTCAAAACAATGAAAAGACAATGGAACATTCTGATCACTGGATCATGACTGGATGGCACGGAGAACAGTGAGATTTTCAAAACAATGAAAAGACAATGGAACATTCTGATCACTGGATCATGACTGGATGGCACTATTGCTAAGATGTTATACACTGTACAAAGATCGTTGGAAGTTCTACTTTATACTATAAACATCTACATACCTGGAGCGCTCTGTGAAATATCAAAGACCTGCAAGCTTTGCTTCTCACCGCCCAAGGTAAAGACATAAGGACTGTCTGGACAAGCTGACACATTCAGGATGGAACCCTGATTTGAAAAAGAAAATATGTGAATCGTCGATTGTCGTGGTACAATCATTGTATTATCTGGGAATTGAAAGAGTAATGTATGTCTGAGGCGTAGTCTTGGGAACACGACAAATATAGATCAGTAGTTTGTTTGTTTTGTGGGCGGAAAACATCGCGTTCATATTGACTTTGGAAATCTGAGCAACTGTGGATTTTCATCGCTGATAGACCTATCCAGTATAAATAAACCTAGTTCCACAAGTTCATGTATAAATAGTAAGGTGATTCCAATGTATGGTGTATGAGGAAATAGCAGAATTTTGGTCATCTAAACTAAACTGTCTCTCTGTAGCTCAGTTGGTTAGAGCTCGACAACTGTCACTCTGTAGCTCAGTTGGTTAGAGCTCGACAACTGTCACTGTGTAGCTCAGTTGGTTAGAGCTCGACAACTGTCACTCTGTAGCTCAGTTGGTTAGAGCTCGACAACTGTCTCTCTGTAGCTGAGTTGGTTAGAGCTCGACAACTGTGTCTCTGTAGCTGAGTTGGTTAGAGCTTGACAACTGTCTCTCTGTAGCTCAGTTGGTTAGAGCTTGACAACTGTCTCTCTGTAGCTCAGTTGGTTAGAGCTCGACAACTGTCTCTCTGTAGCTCAGTTGGTTAGAGCTTGACAACTGTCTCTCTGTAGCTCAGTTGGTTAGAGCTCGACAACTGTCTCTCTGTAGCTCAGTTGGTTAGAGTTCGATTCCTGCTCTCCAAAACCCTTTAACATTCGAGAGATGTAGTGTAATTTTCTCGCTCTTAATATAAGCGTGAATTTTTGTGAGATGGACCACCATTCTGCTGCCATTCAAACGTATAATTCAAATGTCATTACTAACCATTTTCATATCCCGAGAAACGACGAAGGAAGGCTTGTTGTCCTATTGAAAAGAAAGAAAGGAAGGGTGAATTGGATGAAAATTGTGTGAATTGAAACAGTGGAATCGACGTCGATAAAAGTGAGTAATGAGAAAAAACGCCTACCTGTATGTCCCAGACTTTCACCATTTTATCTTGAGAGACTGACAGTAAACAGCCAGGTAGTTGACTGCTTAGAGCAATCCCTGTAGCAATTTAAACGAAAGATTACTAACTTTATTTATACTGCATGGATAGCTCTATCAGTTCTAAACTGTTCTTCCTAGAGGTCCAGTAAGGATCATCTCTTATTGATCCAGTGTTACTACAGGAGGGAACCTAAACTAAACTAACTTTATTTATACTGGATAGCTCTATCAGTTCTAAACTGTTCTTCCTGGAGGTCGAGTAAGGATCATCTCTTATTGATCCAGTGTTACTACAGGAGGAAACCTAAACTAACTTTATTTACACTGGATAGCTCTATCAGTTCTAAACTGTTCTTCCTACAGGTCCAGTAAGGATCATCTCTTATTGATCTAGTGTTACTACAGGAGGAAACCTAAACTAAACTAACTTTATTTACACTGGATAGCTCTATCAGTTCTAAACTGTTCTTCCTACAGGTCCAGTAAGGATCATCTCTTATTGATCCAGTGTTACTACAGCAGGAAACCTAAACTAAACTAACTTTATTTATACTGGATAGCTCTATCATACCTGTGGCAGCCTCGTCATGAGCATGTAGTGTAAAAACAGGATCATTCGTTCTGACATCACAGCAGTAAATATTTCCTTTATCTGTACTGGCCTGAAAGATGAAGATATAAGCTCTACGGTATTTACACTGAATAGCTGTATCAGTTCTAAATTGTTCTCCCTAGAGATCAAGAAAGATGAATTTGTAACCTCGAGAAAATCTGCTGTGATTCGCAGAGTAAAACTGGAAGCACTCTTCTCATGACAAATAATATAAAAGTGGAGTTTTTTATGCATAATAAACACAAGAAAACCGTACCAAGAAATAAAAGGGCGAGAAATGATTCCAAGTTGTACATTCCACTTCGCCTTTTAACTTCCACGACTTGCAGCTTGCCTGTGAAGAAGATAGATGTGTTAAAAACTAAAGCTCAGATGTGTTTGGGTGAGTATAGTTTTTTTCTGTGTTGGTGCAATGTACTCAGGTGAATATGATGCTTGTGATGTTACTCTGAGTGTATGTATATCCACACCGGGCAGGCTTGCAAAATATGCCTGGCCACGGTGGGAATCGAACCTACGACCTTTGGAATACTAGCCCAATGCTCTGCCAACTGAGTTACGCGGTCAGGTCTGTTCGAGTATGTGATATTTCGGAACTGAGTCTAGTTCCTTCGATATCAATGTAATCATTAAATCATGATTTTTTTCAAATCAAAGTTGATAACAAGGATTTTACAAAGCTATTATTAGGGAGCGGTCATTATTTATGGCGGGGGTGGCACCGAAAAGAAATGTTTTTCTTGGTAAAAAATTTGCTGATCCAACCATTAAGTAAAAAAAATTTACCCAACTTCAAATATCAATTAAAAAATAAATACCAACCCCTGGCTAAAAACTTTACAAAAGGATACCATTCAGTTGTCACACATGTCCTTTACCACTTCTGTGACATGAGTTTGGTAACTGCTTTTGCAATTTTCTGCAGTCTAAAGTTTCATGTTGTCTGCACATGTACTTTCTTTGGAGACACCATTTGGCTTCTGACAAATCGGAAAATGATCAAGATAGTGACTCTGATTGATTTACATATTGTATTGACATACGACTGTTGACATTGCTTTTTAGTCTTCAATATTTGAGTGAGTCATGCTTTGGAAATGACAATAAATTTTTATTACCCAACCCTTCAGTTGTTTGTTTTTCATTTACCCAACCTTTTACTCACTCAAAATTTTGTTTACCCAACCCTTTTCTCTTCGGTGCCACCCCCCCCCCACCCCCGACATAAATGATGACCGTTCCCTCAGGCTGATTTACACTGAACAACATTTGTCTAAAACTGTCGAATGCAACCTGCTTACAACTTGAATTGTACTGTTTAAATCAAGAACACAACTCACTTACGTTGTCCTACAATTCAAGTTGTAAGCAAGCTGCATGCGACAGTTTTAGGCAAAATTTGTCCAGTGTAAATCGGCGTTTAAAAGTACAACTTTTCAAGCAAAGTGTATCACATTGTACCTCGGGACTTCGACAGTCTACAACTTGTGCAGTTCTAAAAGTTGGAACAAAATTATTAGCCGACTGCATAGATATCACAACAACTTTAAAATGTTATCTGCTGATATTAATCTGCTATCAATTGAAAACTCGAATATTAATCGAGGGATATAGACGTACTTGTCAAAAGATCCCGTCAGTAATGATTG